CGTCATTCGTTTGAGTATCCGTTTGGAAAACAATTTTACTTCCTTTTCGTTTTTGCTCATATATATAAATATTTGCTGACCGACCACTCGACTAATCAAATAATAATATCTCTATCATAATAAAGAAGATCACTCATCAAATCTTTTCCCACACATTTTCAACGCTTTTTCGCTTTTCCATTTCTTTTTAGTCATTATGCTTTCTTTTTTTTTCACTATATTTCTCGTTCTCTTCCCCTTTTGATAGTCCATTTTTATGACAGATACACATACACACACACGAAACACATTTTCAGTTTCCGATACTTAAACGTCGTCTTCTTCGTCCCTATTTGCAAGGGCGTTGATTAGACTTGCTATTTATAGATATTCTGATATCAGAGATAACGAACCGTACCGGATAAATGTGTAAATAATTCGCGCGTTGTTGCTAATAAAATTCGGTTATAAAATGAAACGATACAATGCAACTAGAAAAATTTTATGCGCATCTCTACGAAATGAACAGTATACGCGAGTAAAGAGATAAATAAAAAAAGAGACAGCGAAAACATCAGGCTTAAACTACCAAAAAAAGCATAAAACACATTTTATGACGTCTTTACTGGAATGACTGCATTAGACTGCGTCGCAACAAACAAAAGCATCCCTGTTTATACATCGTTAATTGGGTAAAACGTAACAAGAACATTGAAGGCCAATTTGATGCGCGAACCATTTCAGTTTTTATCAAATAATAAATGCTCCGCAAAAGCCGTAGTTTTAAAGGCAACATTTACACTTGGTTAATTACGATGAAATATTTTCACGCTTGATCATTTTCTGCTAAAGGCAAACCGTTACGGTAGATTTTTCTTTGTGAATTTTTCTTTTTTACAAATCAACAGATGTACCAAACAACACGTAAGTTCATCTGAAAAATCGCAGAAGGTTAAACAAAATATAGAGTACAAATATAAAAGTTCTTTTACAGACGATTAAATGAAAATGAAAAGCATATGAATGTATGAAACTACTTTTCTTTCAGAAGAAACTCTATCAAAAAGAGAAAGTAAGTTTCGCCTGAGATAGTGCTGTTCCGAGCGTATCAAAATCTATTCATGGTGATGGTAACTTTTAATGCATTAAACGAAATATTTTAAATCGTAAATTCTTTAGAATTTTTATCAAACATTGTAACCATCATGGAGCATTATCGACGATGATGAAGTAGAATCAACTTGATTGAATGGAAAAATGCATCAGAGTTGAATTTGCCATCACTGTACGGTCGAAATTACAGCTGTAATCATTTCAACGCAATTACCATTGTGTATTGAGCATTTGCATATATGAATCGTTGCGGCGAAAGAGTAGCTCTTATTTTTCTCCAAATAATACTGCAACATAACGTTTTTTATGAATAGTTTATTTGTTGTATTACAACAAATAAACCGTGTGAAAAAAACTTCATGTTGCAGTATTATTTGGAGAAAAATAAGAGCTACTGTTTCGCCGCAACGATTCATATGCACTGAATATCAAATATTGTATTGATTTTTTCTTTAGTTGGAGTAAAAGGCCCAATAGAACAATGATAAAACAAACTTTCGATCTGAAATATCGTTTATTCAATATGAAATCAAAAGCACTTCTACTTTTTTGAGAAGTTCAAACCAAGCTATTTGACGAGAAGTCCACTTGAACACACTTTGTACGTGCGCCGCTTAAAACTGTTGGATACTTTATAGTGGAAATTTTTTAAAATAAAATTGAAACCACTAATACCAATTTGTATCATAAAATATTCCCCATTTTCGACTTATCACACTTTGTATGACTTTCCTTGTTATATAAAAAACAAAAACTGTTTGTTCTGGTCGAATGCAAGATCGAGATGAAGTTCAGATGATTCGGTCTTATAATAAGTCATATAATTTTCATGGATCATCATGACACAGTTAAAACTGTTTTCAGGTAATTGGAGTCATGAACTATATGACATCAATTAGCTAATAAAAGAGACAATCAAATAAAGATAATATGGAGTAAAATGTCATCAATAAAAACCGAGCCAATTGTTATCTATTTCAAAAGAATTTCAATTGGTGAATCTTTTATCATATTTCGCATTTGAACTACTACTGAAAACTGCACTTTCACCTTTAATTAAATAAATTGTATGAACAATTGTGCACCATTTTCATTGTTTTGAATTTATATTTTCAAGAAAGGAATTTAAACACAATCTTCATTATTCATGTGTTTTCAAGTAACAATGTGATACCAATAGATGTATGTCAGATTAGTTCAATGCTACCATCTCCGTATCTCTAACAAATATTTAAAAAATGCCTTTGAGATCTGTATTTGGAATACTTTTAGTGTGCATACTTCGACGCTGTTTAGCTCGACTTGACAAATGGAAAGCGTACAAAATACATCGACTTTACATCATGTCTGTATTTGACTCAATTATGGTATACTTGTTTTTATATAAACAATATAAAAACCAAAAACTATAAAATAATATTACGTCTTGTTGTGCATAAATGAAACGAATACAATTTCTTAATTTACTTTCACAAAAAATGCGTAACTTCAAATGTATTGCGCCTTTCAAAAGAAATGCCGACGTTTTTTTTTCGAAATTGTCACTTTCATCAAGTCTCCCGACAAGACTTAATTTATTATGGCGTTGTACAATGACCGTATTGTGGGTATTCACCAGAGAAATGTAACATGATTTGAATGTAAAAGATATTTTTTGTGCGAATAAAACTGATCTCATCTACTTGAAATGAATACGTGTTACATAGCAGGAAACAAATTTAAGCATGTTTTACATTCAATTCATGGACGACAAAGGAATAAAGTGCATAACATTGGGAATGAACCATGGTCCGCTCATGAAAATCTATCAAAATATTTATTGAAAGTTTTGACATCGTTATATTTTCCCCTGATTGCATTCTAAAATTATGTATATGATATTTAGTTTTTGCTCCGAAAAAGTCACAACAGTGCTAAAAAGATTTTTGTATTGTTCGGGTCAAAATATTATTAAAAGGTTTGTCCAAGTGTAAGAAATTGTCATGAATTTCCACGCTGAAACAACTTGTAGTCCAATTACGAATTTGTATTCAGTTTATGTGTGACGCCGAGTGAGAGAAAGAGGACGATGAAGCTAAGAGTAGCATTTTCCGGCACATAATCCATTCATGTAGGAATTTGCAGAGCGTTATTCATATTCAACTCATTCGTTTGACGGATTCGATGCAGAGCCATACACATCCAACTAAACTCAAGTGCCCCAGAGTAATTTACATTTTAATGTTGGACCATTCAACTGCGAAGAAAAATTAACTTTTACATCATCATCCATATAAAACGCAGAACAGAGTCAGTAGCAGGAACACAACACATACTCACATCGAATGCCGATGTCACATCAAAAGATATATGCATGAAATACTAAACAGCAAACGACATGCAATTTAAATAAAATATCTCTATACGTTGGAATTCATTCTTCATATCACTCACACATTAGGGTGGTCCCGAATATACACAAATTCGAATTTTGATCGCAGCACACTCTATATATGTTAGACTTGGTCCCACAAACATATGTGCAAAGTTTCAGCACTCTACTGTACCGGCAACACGTGCCTCAAATGCCTTGAAGATTTTCTGTCGACACAGATCGTCACACATTTCGAACAAATTTTTTTCGACAAAACTATATGATAAAAATGTGTATTGGGGGATTTTTTGGCACGAGAAAACCGAATCTGGCATTAGTTTTGCGATACAAATAAGCTTTAACACACTTTTCATACAGAAATCTGAAAAAATCACTAAAAATGTGGATTTTGTATGGGAGCTATACTTGTATGATATCGTAATGAGCTGAGACTTTGCACAGGTTTTTTTTTCACAAAAAAATAACATTCTGAAAGATTCACGGAATTTCAATGCGT